TATGAAGCTCTACAGAATGTGTCTTTTTCTATGAGTTTATGTTTACAACAGAAATCGAGGCTCAATTAAAACAAAATTGTTTTTGAAATTGAAATCCAGAATGCGCTTCTAAAATAAGAGTAACAGAAGTTGCATAGACTGAAATAAAACATGAAACAAAATAGTACATTAGTTACTAATCACTACTTCATGACAGAAATTAATTAAATACCATAGTCGAAGTTATTATACTACCCGAAGTTAAATACGTATGTAAAACCAATCATTCAATATTTGGTATAAAGTTATGCATGGTTAAATTGGTAGCTTAATTACTATCATGCCCTTAAAGAAATTTATGGAATTACCAATAACCTTGCATGTAAATTAAATGTAAATATAAAAATGTAAAACGCGTTCATCGACCGAACCCATATTGCTATGCATCGTTTGCATATTGGAAAAACATCACGACAACGTTGTATAATTATATGGGCAGTGGTCATGAACATTTCGCAACAGTAAAGTTACAAACAGTTCATAAGCATTTAAAACTGTAAATCAAGTCTGTTTAAAAACAAGCTTTTGTAATGTAATCCGGCATCTTATAGTTGTGGATATTTTATTATACATAATTTAATGATAATATTCATTGTATTATTACATAATATTCAAATTATTTCATTTAATACACATATTAAAAGTTGACAAAATACGAGTAAACATAATCTGCCATCGTGTGGCGGTAATCTCTTTAAATAAATACAATATTGACTATTGCATATTATATTGTTACTAGAACTAAAATTGTATGCAAAATTTGAACCAAAATAGTTATCAGGAATTGTCTCTAATTCAGCTGGCAAGATTAATCTAAACAAACTAACATACATTCAAGTTATAAAAGCTTATAAAAACAAACTGGTCAAGAGCGTGTCGGTCACGCGATTAAGAGTAATGCTGGAATGTTTTGCAAAATGTTTATGATGACAGTTGAAAGGTTTGTTTTTAAATTGTCGCCCTATGATCATTGAAAACAATAGTTTCTTATTTACTGTGGAAAATTCTAGGCCAAATATTGATTTGATTTTAAAATACTATTTAATTTACAATATGTAAATTGACAATGTAATGAAAGATCATAAAATTTGATTATGGAGATTGCGAGATATTTTATTGTACTATTTTTATTGTACATAATTTACATTAGACATATTAAAAGATTTAATATAGAATGGCGCACTTATCTCATAGAGGGATCTATTACAGTCAACGTTTGAGAAGTTGAAAAAAACTATAGAATTTTTAAATGTAAAATCCGTACAACTAAAGATAAACTCAACAATACCTAGTTAAAATTGAATATATAATACAAGAAAAAGTAGCTATATACACCTAGATATGTAAATAATAATAGAGTCTCAGTTTTCTGGCAAAACTGGCAATTTAGCGGAGAATGAAGTATAATATATGTTTATATATGGGTATATATAAACAATATATTTGATATATATATATATATATATATATATATATATATATATATATATATATATATATATATATATATATATATATATATATATATATATATATATATATATATATATATATATATTCACAATTGGCTCAATGAGTTTCATAATAAAATTTTATGATACCTGCTTTTAAGGATTTTGTTGTCATAAGTTAGTTTTGAGCGACTATAAATCGTGACTAAATCAAAAAACTACCTAGGGCAGTAAACCTGCTTAAAAACGGATTAAAAAAACGCCTATCTAAATCAGATCAGAATTAATGACGATATCGCGTAACACACACGAAACACAGAATATAGGCGAATCTCCTTCTTTTGAAACTATCGTTGCGAACAGTAATATAGAAAAGATGGTATTTTCCATGATCATTGTCACCACGCTTTCGTACCTTTGATATGTCATTAGCACCATATATTGAAAACAAGAAAGCAATCGGTTAACGACTGTTAAGTTTATGATCCATTTGTGAAGCGATTGGAAAATTAGCGGTTTGGTGAACGGGCCAGGCGTGATTGCTACCCAATAAGTTTATTATACATATTATAGTTGAAACTACTAAATAACTAGGTAGGCTTGCATTTAACCGGACTTTTAACCAATTTAAAAAAAAAGAAGTATTTTGATTGTATTTTTTGTATTTGTTACCTCACAACTCCGTCATTTATAAATCAATTTGGAAAATTCTTTTTTTTTTTTTATCTGAAAGGCTAGGCTTTATCTTTCAGATTGGTCCCATAGAGACTTTATCAAAATCGACCTAGTAGTTTAGTTTTTAAATCGAAATAATTAGTTTCTCCATGATTGATGTCGGTGTTTTTCTTTGTGGTACAAAATCTACTTCTAAAGTTGATGATTGAATTCTGATAGATAAGATGTTACCAGTCTTACGACATAAACCTACGGCATACACCGTTTGAACAGAATCTGGGCCTCGGTATGATAAAAAAAAACTACATTCCGATCAGCAAGCACGGCATAGTAGGTCGCGGCAAGGAGCGGTGCACTGCAGCGGAACCGACCAACTGTCCATTGAGAAACACTGTTTCAAATCCACCACACAATTATATTTTTGTTGATGTAAATCGTGTAATCGATTTAGAAAAGTAATCGAATTAGTAATCTATTCTAATTTCTAATATAAAATTTGGTGAGTTTGGTCTTTTTTACATTCTCTTATCCTCATCTAAGTTTTAATTTTTTGTGCATATTTTGGGAGACAGGCGTGATGTATATATTTGTATACGCATGTGTTGCATATTATCACAGTCACTTTTATTTAGATAGACTTATTTACACTTTTAAATCGTCACATTGTCGTGAATACGGTATTAAGTATACCCATAGATGAATCACACTTTACGTGAGAAAAATCTTCACCAAAATCTTTCTAACAGTCAGGACGGTGGGATGAAAACTGTGTGGGATTTTTACCAATAAAAAATAACAAGACGTACCACGAGGCATATTATCGAAACTCTAGGGTCTAATCTGAACTACAGAAGGTTAAATACACTAGTATATTACCTGTAAGTTCACTAAACTCTATATTCACTAGTAATTGTATGTGGCTCTGTTTGACTGGACAGTGCAGAAATGTAGGTCATAGATTTATAGTACTAATAATGCTAATGGTGCTAACAGTGAATGGTAGCCTTAATTAGGTTTTGATCCAGTACTTTTAAATGTTTTTAGTAACGCAATAGTGTGAGTATAAGATTAGTACCTAAAGGTTTAGCGTGAGAAGGTTAAATATTCATACATGCTGGTTCTATATCTATAGAAACTTGTTGGAAAGCACAATACTTAATATAATTTCATTGGGTTAAAAAGTTAAATAAATTGAATTATATTACATATTTTATTATCTTTTTTTTTAATATCTACAATTTTTAAATGCTTCAACACATATAATGTAGATTAGCGATAAACGAACATGCAAATAGCAAAAACTGGAATTAGATTTTAGATAAGAATTATAATAAGTTTAAATAATAAATCAGCGATATAAGGCCTAGTGCGTATTCTGTTAATCATAATGACAATAGTTTACAAAATAGATTGAAAAATTTAAATCTCTGATAAGTTAAGAAGCTCATGGAATCTTGATTATAATAACGTTAATAATATAATATGGTATACATGATATAACTAAAAGCATAATCTTGATAAAACAACGTGGAGCACGATATTTAATAGCTATTAGATTACTGATGCGCGTTGCATCAACGGCTCGAACACTTTATAATATGTTAGTGAGCAGACACATCAACATTCGTTCCGTTGAACAATCATCGCATATTTTTATGATCATTACCTCTGATTTATTAACAGTTGTACTGACATACAGTACAGGTGTTTTCTAAGCATTCTTTTTACAAACACGCTCAACATTTCGTGCGGACATCTATTTATTCATTAAGAATTGAAATTTGAAGTAATCAGCGTGTTGATTAAAAAAATCTGTACCGTTAATTTTTTTACTTAAAAATGATTATATATTACTGTTTTACTGTTACGAGTATAATCTGACACCTACGTTTACTGTTACGAGTATAATCTGACACCTACGTATAAATAGTTATTTCTAAAGGCATTAGCAACTAACGTACACAATAAGTTTTGATTAACACCTATCCTATTATATTACTAGATATTTATTTTATCCAAATTCATTTACATATATATTTATCATTGTAGAAAAAGATATCTTTCAAAGTATTTATGCTCACTGTAAACTATAAATATTCATTGATTCACCATGCTAATAATATATTATAGTGGTTATCTTATGTTTGTGAAGTTATAATGAATACATTTTTATTTGTAATATATGAATATATTGTATAAATAACGAAACAATGCAAATAGAAAATATTATATTGATAGATAAACAGATAGTTCCTTTATTATCAACAAAAATAATAACTACAGAAAAAATAAACAACAATAAATCAGTACATTTTGCTGTTAATAGGAGCCGCCTCAGCTGTTGCTATATACGCACGTCTCTAGTCAGATGCAGATGCAGCGCTGATTTCCAGACGCATTTTCTTTAGCATTCATAAGGATCACCAATATCTACTTTTTGGATGCGAGACTAAAGATTAAAAATAAAAACAAAATCTGAATACAAAATTATCAACGACAGTGACGGTATTATTATAAAACTAATTCTTGATATTTAAAGAATAGTTTGGTTTCGTTAATTAAGTAAAATCTCTACTGAATTTCACTATGGTCTGTTTTAATAGAATATAATGAAAATGTATTGAAATTATCACAGAAAATATTGTAAATGAAATTAGTAACACTATTGAATGAATTAATCGAGTTCGGACTGTACTACTATTGAGTAACAATAAACTGCCTTATGGTCGGCTTATTATTTGTTTGTTTACATTTTAAGTTTTATTGTACCAGACTATATAGTATGTCTTTGCCATAAAAAGATAATTTTATCTATGTGTATTTAAATATACTCACCAACATCGGTATGTTTGGTACAACAACGGCGTCGTCGTCGGGGCCCGCACTCAGCTCCGGTTGGAATGTGTACGTGCGGCGATAATTGAACGAGAGTGTCCCATTCTCGTTGTCTGTTATGTTCACTTTCTCCCATTCTTCCCTGTTGAACAATATGTTCATGTTAATTGATGGAAAACTAACTGGAACATCCGGAGTCATATACTAAAAAGGGCATGAACGGGGCTAATTTGTAGATACTACCTATTTATAATACTAAATGCATAATAATTTAGTCTATAGAAATAGCAACGCTTGAGAGGTATAGTGTATCAGAATAATCAATAAACTGTTTGTCATGTTCATTTAAACAACATGGGTATAAAAATGTCTCTTAGACGTTCCAACTACAGTCTTTTATACTTGGCATATTTCATAAACGATATTAGCACGTCTTTTTAATGAATTCTTTCTCGTTTATTTAAAAATATATTTTCTACAAATTAAATACGAAATAAGTGGACAATACATAAATCAATCAAATATTTATTTGTATAAACATACATAAGTATTTTTAAAGTAGCAACTAATTAAATTACTAATTATATAAACGTAGGTAAGAGGCTATGTTTTGCCATTATTGTACGTACAAATTTACTATGTAATATCTATTACAATAGTAATGGTTGGTATTTATTATAATTGTATATTGTAAAATTGTAAAGGACATAAGAGAATTATCTGTAAATATGGAATAATACATTTGTAATTACCTATAATATTTGCAAGATACAATTTACTTAAACAGTTCTAGATATAGTGAACATGCAATATTGCATGTCTTGCTGTTGTCTTGTTATTGTCTATTAATATAATGTGGTGCAATCGACTTGTACTCGTACATGTATTAATCGATACAGACTAATGATACAATCTGGATTTGTTCCGATTTTCTGATAATAGCCAGCTGTCAATATTATAGATCTAAAAGCGAATGTGTTCAGTAAAAATATCTTTTTTAATAATAATAATAATAATAATTTTTATTTCAGACTTTTTGGTCCATTAAATATTTATTAGTAACAATATTCTTAAAAACTAATGTTAGCAAATTTACATACACAATACACATACACACACATACACACATGCAATATATTAAGCAGTATACAGAATATATATCACCGCTGCACAATTCCATTGGAAATTGTGCAGCAGTGATTAACATACACACAGTCCAGCCTGCTTGCTATCATACTCAGGATGATTTTCCATATTTTGGAGAAGTAGTCTGAAACCACGATGTTTAGATTAAAATAGTTCTACACAAATCTCATTATGACTAATTTCATATTACTTAGCCTCTCGCTATAAGAGTGATTACCTTCATACCGAAGTCTATAAAATAATTTTCAATGTTTGTCTAGATAATTTAAAATGCAGTTGTATATCTTTTTCACTAAAACCATTTCGCTATATGATTCGATTCTAAATATTTTTGATAACATAGTCAACTACAATTTAAAAATATTTTTGTAACTTAGTAATATGCTATTACTTAACTACATATGATTTTTTTTTACTTTTTTTTTTATAAAGAAAAAAAAAACTAATTACCATAAATATTTGCTTATTCATAAAAACACAAAATCTCCTATAAACCTATTTTATCTAATGAAATCTTTTAATAATAATAATCTTTTTATTCGGATCCTAATCCATTTCGTGTTATTACAAGACTTAAAAAACTAAGTTAGTAAAAGATAATGTTTAATTCATATATTTTGTCACTATCTTTTAAATTGAGGATCTAGCGAAAAATAAAAAGACATATGTATAAAGCTTCAATAACTAAAATAGCCGGTCATCATCATGGTTGACTGATATCTTTTAATTTAGCACAGTATATTATCTCTTTAATTTCGGTATCTTGTGGCAATAGGTATTTCTGTATCCATGTCATCAAATATAATGCCCATTAACACACATAAAATTAATCTATTTAAAAATAAACTAAACAACTTATATAGTTATGATGCGATTAAGGGTAAAATCAAATGATTCATTTTAAATTGAGGAAAAATATGCGATTGATGAGTTTATGAGGTTAATGTAGGCACATGACTTTCTGTCTTAATTATATTAGACATATATTGTTTATGAAGATAGTCTAAGTAATTATATTCCCATAAATATAACAATGGTGTTGTCTGCATTGGTATTTTTATGTTATTCGTGGTTCTTCCGCCAAGATGGAGCTAATTCTATGGCTTAATCTCAGTTTAAATGGTATGATATAGGAATTAAATTATTACATACGAAAACATAACATCTACGTCATCAGAAAATATCACGAATGACAGATACCCATGAAAATTATAGTGTAATGTGATGTTCATAGTATTTCATCGACATCATTATTGTCATATTAGCAGTTTTCAATCCACTGCTGAATATAGGTTTCCCCTATAGATTATCATAAGGAATGTGATATACATTATGGTAGTTTACTATTAGTGGAATTTTGCCAGTAGTTGCTCCCCATAGCAGGGGGGGGAGGGCAACCGCAGTTTGGCTTTTGATAATGTTTTAAAAGGGACACTGCTGCCCATCCCTCGACTATTAAATTTCCTTAGTCGTTTCTTAAGACACCCATGGGGATAAGGAAGGGACAGCCCATTCATTATTGGGACCACACAGTACGTATGATACACATGATCATTTCTACTTTAATTTGTATAAAAAATATACGCTTCTTAATAGAAATCTGTGTTAACCGTCGAGTTTTTGTAGGTTCTTTTTAACATATACCAACCAGAATCTAGTAACACATGATTTTTTAATAAAGATTGTATAGTTTGTTTCAACAGAATTTAATGTAAAAGTGACCAACTTTTGAAATTATTATCGGAACTATTTTTAAGTTAAATTAGTAAATAATTGAAACATTCAGTCAATTAATCAATTTTCAATTTGTACTACTTTTGGACATCAGCAGACTGCCTTATTGGTTACTAAATTCTATTGAAACAAACTGTATTATATATTTTGTTGTTTTAGATAAATAATAAAATAGGTAAATAAATAATAAAAAAATTTTAGGTCGGTAAAAGTAACGTGTTATACTCACGAATAGACATACGGCCCCAGCTCGTTGAGCACCGGCTTGGAGCCGTTGTTGAGGAACTCGTCCGCGTTGGTCACGTTGTACACGTAGACCCGTATGAACGGCCGCACCGGGGGCCGCGCCCACCACTCGAACGTCATCGAGCCGGGGCGAAGCACTAATTCCTGTTGGACAATAGGGAACAATCAACATTGTGTTAATATTAATCTTAACTACCTATTTTTTGAGATGAAAATAAAATGGTAACCTTGCTTGTTCTGGAGGATATCGATGAGAGAGAGAGAGAGAGAGAGGCGGGGTACCAGTGACGGATGATAGGTGAAAATGAAGGCAGGTCAGTTGGCCCATAGTGACTAAATTGATCAAGAATGAACCACGATAATTTTCAAGAGGAATCGCGTGGAGGTCGACTTGATAGGTCACTGCTAGCGATAGAATTTTTAAACCTCATTCTTCTCCCTCCAGAATTGAGTATTAGTAGTCCTATCGCTAGTAATACACCCTATCAGGTGGATCGCCATGCGTTTCCTTTGGGAAACCGTCGTAATTAATTTCTGGGGAAATGATTAATCGTGATGAGCCAACTGATCTGGTTGCATCTTCACATATCATCACTCATTTGTATCTCGTAGTATATACCGATAATACGGCGGAGTTACCATTTCATCTCACAAAAAAAAAGAGGGACGTTAGAGGGTGCTAATAAAGGTCACTTGGTTCATACGAATAGTGACGAATTTACTAGGAATTATTGGTTTCTATGGGGACCGCTAGTATTTTTTTTATTCTACTGTAGTAGCAAAAAAGCATTCGGTTCATCCGATGGGAAATGGGGTTACCGTAACCTATGCATGCTTTAATACCTGGGATGCCACGCGTGCGTTGCTAACCCCTGAGAAAACCTAATCCGCCCTTTTTGAAAAACCCTATGCTGTTATCTCTAGGGAAAGCCTTAGTCTAGAGTGTTAGCGAGAGGAAGCTCATCTGAAACATTCTGGTGTTAAGGTCTGAGAACGAATTCCCTGCCAATGGCCAGCGGTATAGTAGCACAATAGAAAACAAGTTTCGCTCAGGCGAAGCCTAATTTCCTTTAAGTAATAACAATTTTGTGTCAATGTACACACCTAATACATGTTCAAATCATTCGCAACATTGCATTAAGTTCAAGATCTCTTCGGCAGTTACAAAATGTTTTATGTTGCATGATAGGTACATGTTATATCATTGCTCAACGCGTGTTAGGTCGGTTGCGTTGTCGCGTGTCGCGGCTACGTGACCAGGTGACATTTAGGGTCTCTTACTCAACTGTTTAATGGTTAGAAAATTTGCAACGTTTTTTCAAGGTATTTTTTTTGTATCGCTAGGCAGGCAAACGAGTGGACTGTCCACCTGATGGAAAAAGACCACCGAAGTCTATAAATACATGCAATATGAAGGGATCAGCTAGTCCGCAATTTCTTTAAAATATTTGAAGGCAGTTGTAGTTTTTACAACTTCAGTTAACTAATAAATTTTAGAAAAAGAAGATAAAAGATGATCTTTACTAAGAAGTTTATGTAAAAGTATAAAATTTGAGAGCACCGTCCGCATTCTTAAATAAATATCGTAAATATATTACTCCAATTAAAGAACCATTTCCGGAAGCGGAAAAGTCAAGAGCATATTTATTTAATCGACTTCATAAAGAAGAAGGTTCTTAAGTCGTATGTATTTTTTATATTTGTTACCTCATAACTTCGTTAGTTGTAAACCAATTTGGAAAATTCTTCTTTCATCTGAAAGAATATACTTACAGACTGGAATTTTTATTAAAATAAAGTACTTTAATTTTTAAATCAAATATTTTTTTTTACCACAATCGACGTTAGTTTTTTGTAGAACACAATCTTTTTATAATATTTTTACGCAAATTTTGAGTAATTAAATAAAACATATTTTAAAAATGTATATATATATATATATATATATATATATATATATATATATATATATATACATTTTATTGCACTTGTAAGTTACATATAATTGTCTTCGTATGCTTTTTAGTGTGATATATTAATTTTCAATAAATACGATGATTAATTAGTTAATTAGCTGAATGATACAGTATTATAGAAACTAAATAAAAATTTAAATATAGCTATGGACATGTAATCAATACTGTAAATAATACTGCCTAAGTACAATTTAAAATTATTAACAAATTTAAATATGTCGGATCGTGTCATAGTAAGGTACATTTTTTAACCTGTTAATAATTTTGAATTTTCAAACATAGGGCTATGCATTTAAAATATATTCAAATATAGGTAGATAGAATATTAAGTAAGCTTGAACTTGTCAATTTCAACGGTACCGTAAACTCTGTTATCTAAAAGACATCAACGAGGTACAATAATTATATAAATACTAGGTATCTATCTTAATGGTCGAAGGATGGGCAGCATACAACATCATCAAAGTCTAACTGCAGTTGCCAACCCGCCTGCCAAACGTAGTAACTACTGGTCAAACCCCCAAGTAGGAAATCTATGTTCAACAGTTGACAGTTAACGGCTGCATCATCATACACTCCTCGCAAAAATTAAGGGAACATAAAATTTTTTGAAATTTTTGGGTGATTTTCAACAGGCTGTATTTCAGTGAAAATAATCGTACAGGAAATTTAAAAAAAGGATTTTGAAGCTTGAAAACTCTAGTTTTCAGATTTTTGGTGAAAAAATTTTTTGAGCTCCGGTTTCCATGCAATTCTTAAACAAAGCTGAAAATAATATTTTTCTAAATTTTCTAGGTTTCGTTTTTCACTCTATGGGTATGGAAAAATTTTTTCGAGCTACTCCATTGTATAGGTCTCTTAGCGTGTTTATTCAGCTTCAAAAATCGCTTTGGATGGCTCAATTACGACCATTTGTCTCCGAGATATCGAACTTTGAATGCAAAAGCATCCTTTTCCATTCAACTGCTAATATCTCTGGAACTACTGGTCGCACAGCAAGCGGGCGCCGAGTTTCTTTATCTGCATAAAATTTCCAATTAAGCACAGTCAAGAGTTAGTGAAGAAAAAAATTTTTTCCACCTCTAACATTGAATTTAAAAAAGTGGAAAAAAGTGACTTTTTCTCCTTTTTTGGTTACTTGGCTGTATCTTCGCTAATATGGGCGGGAAAGCTAAGGTTTGAGGAAAATTTTACAGTCTATTGTTCCTTAAAGAACCCCTAAATCCCTGAAGCGATCGATTCAACGGTTTTTCCCGGACCAATTGATTGAAATTTTGGAAAAAATAAGGGAACAAGGTTTTTGTCCCTTAAACTCACCCTAATCCATTCAAAAATCAATAATTTCATTTGTTTTTCACTTTTTACTTAATTTTTTGTTTTTTAAAAATTCATTATCAAAAAAAAATCGAAAAAAATCAAGAAAATTTTTAAGAAAAATTTTTTTTGAAAAGTCGAAAAAAGTTTACAAAAAATTTTTTTTTCGTTTTTAAGGAAATCAAAGTTTTTGACAAAAACTTTGATTGATGATCGATTTACCGCCGGCATTAGCGTTACCCAAAGCATACCACGTGGAGGTTGCACGGTCGGATTCTTTTTTTGACTTTTTTCGACTTTTCAAAAAAAAATTTTTCTTAAAAATTTTCTTGATTTTTTTCGATTTTTTTTTGATAATGAATTTTTAAAAAACAAAAAATTGAGTAAAAAGTGAAAAACAAATGAAATTATTGATTTTTGAATGGATTAGGGTGAGTTTAAGGGACAAAAACCTTGTTCCCTTATTTTTTCCAAAATTTCAATCAATTGGTCCGGGAAAAACCGTTGAACCGATCGCTCCAGGGATTTAGGGGGTTCTTTAAGGAACAATAGACTGTAAAATTTTCCTCAAACCTTAGCTTTCCCGCCCATATTAGCGAAGATACAGCCAAGTAACCAAAAAAGGAGAAAAAGTCACTTTTTTCCACTTTTTTTAATTCAATGTTAGAGGTGGAAAAAAATTTTTTCTTCACTAACTCTTGACTGTGCTTAATTGGAAATTTTATGTAGATAAAGAAACTCGGCGCCCGCTTGCTGTGCGACCAGTAGTTCCAGAGATATTAGCAGTTGAATGGAAAAGGATGCTTTTGCATTCAAAGTTCAATATCTCGGAGACAAATGGTCGTAATTGAGCCATCCAAAGCGATTTTTGAAGCTGAATAAACACGCTAAGAGACCTATACAATGGAGTAGCTCGAAAAAAATTTTCCATACCCATAGAGTGAAAAACGAAACCTAGAAAATTTAGAAAAAAATTATTTTCGGCTTTGTTTAAGAATTGCATAGAAACCGGAGCTCAAAAAATTTTTTCACCAAAAATCTGAAAACTAGAGTTTTCAAGCTTCAAAACCCTTTTTTTAAATTTCCTGTACGATTATTTTTCACTGAAATACAGCCTGTTGAAAATCACCCAAAAATTTCAAAAATTTTTATGTTCCCTTAATTTTTGCGAGGAGTGTATATATATCATCCATTGACATTTTTGAGCACTATTGTCTTCAAATATGGGTACGCATGAAAGGTGGCATGGGCGTTATACTGCATTTTGTGATGGCTGTAGAGATGTTCATGCCTGTAAGCGACGGTTACCACTTTCCATGCCGTAAGCTTGTTTACTATTGAAATCTTTTCAGTTATTCGTATTTAACAACTAATTGACGGACAGTATAGACAGTGACAGATAAAACTATTATATGTACGCGATCGCCCATCATATTGGTATCCGCTCCGTGTGTTGCTTAACCTAGTTTTTAATTCGACCTCGTGTTTGCACTCACTGCATCCTTCTTACTGCGCTTTTCGTAACTAAGTTACAACAGCGGGCGATTAAGTATCCTTATATTTACAAATCGTATGATGACCTCTGCACATAGCGTACTCTGTGACTTGTACAATCCAGTACAGAATAAATTATATAAATGCAGTAGGCTCAGTGTCCTCATAGAGGTCATAGGATATAAAATACCTACTGAAGTACGATATTTAAATTCAATGCATATCTTTTTGTAGACATTTTGAAATGGAAATCAAAGACAACAAATGTTTCTGTTAATGGTTAAAAATATTGATTTACAATTACCACGATGGTGTCTAAGGAACACCGCGTGGAGATTGTTTTTACATGTTTTTTCACTA